CTCTCCGGTCCCGCTCCCCAGTCCCGCTCCCCGGTCCCACTCCCCGCTCCTGTTCCCCGCCGCTACTCCTGGCCCTGGTCCTCGTCCCGATCCCGATCCCGGTCCCGGTTCCGCACCTGGCCCGGGTACGCCATAGCCGCTCCTCCGCCCCAGCCACGCCCCAATGACGTCACACAACTATCACAGATCTAATTGGCTGAAGTTGGCTGTGACCACGCCCCCTGGGCGGGGCGGAGGCGGGGCGGGAAGCGCGCGCCCGAGGGCCAGGGCCTTAAAGTGGCGACGGCGCCGGGGAGGGGTGGGGCCCACCGGGATGGGAGAGCTCCGGGAGCTCCCCGGGAGCTGGGCTGGAATTCTCCGGGTGCTCATCCGGGATCAGGCCGAGAGTGCGGCCAGGATCAGCCTGGGGGCGGAGCTGGCGACCCCACAAAATGAGGGCAAGGGCTCCCCTGACAGCAGGACCGAGATTCCTCAAGTAGCGGGGCTGGGATGGTGCTCTGGGATTCCCAGGAATTCCAGGTATGATCAGGCTCAGCCCAAGAGACTGAGTTGGGGTCAGCCTGACAGTAGGGCGAGAATGCCAAGCTAAGAATTGGGATGTCCACGGGAATTAGTTTGGGATTCCTCCAGAGGCAGGACTGGGATCCCACCAGATCACAGATCTCCAGTGTGGATGTGCTGGGATGATTCTTCACCAAGAATGGGGCTGGGATATCCCAAGATCACGGCTGGGATTGCCCCTGAGACAGGGCCAGGATTGGGATTCCCCCATCAGTCCCAGGATCACAGCGAGCTCAGGGTCACCGTGTCCCCAACCGGAGTGGCCTCAGAAGTGACCCGAGCAGCATCCCTCGGTGGCAGGGCTGGAGACAGGGATGGGGAGAAGGCGCAGACCGGGCTGTATCCAGTCACGGAGCCGGGAGGCGCGGGGACACCAGAACTGGTGTATTTTTGGGGCAGGATCCACCCGCCCCTGCGATTGCCACGGAGCTGTACAACCCCCGAGCCCCCCCGACGGGCACGGCCCCGGCACAGCAGGGAAACGATATTAACAATATTAACAGCAAATTCGGGGGGCGCGGGACCCCTCAGCCGAAGGGACCCTTGACGTTCTTGGGCTGGAAGAGCGGCTGCTCCATGGGCACGGCCCCCAGGCACTCGGCCGGGCTGCAGTGCCCCGTCTTGCCCGGCTGCCCCGTGGCACCGGGAGGGCCGGGGATGCCGGGGATGCCCTGCTGTCCCACGGGGCCCGGGGGACCCATCTTCCCATAGCCTGGTGGCCCTTGGGGACCTGCAAGAGATGGAGAGAAGGAGGGGTGAGGGGTGGCAGCAAAGTCCAGCCTCGGGCTGGGGGCCACGCGGGGGGACGGGGCTCACCTGGGGGTCCCGGGGGGCCACTGTCCCCCATCAGTCCCACGCCTTTCTCGCCTTTCTCTCCTTTGGCGCCTGGCTCACCTGGGAAGGATGGAGAGGGGTGAGATCCCGGCACAATCACAGCATCCCAGGATCCAGGGACACTGGGAATGTCCTGGGGACACTGGGAATGTCCTGGGGACACCAAGAACATCCCAGGGACACTGGGAAGAATTTGGCCCCAGCGTCAAGGTCCTGGGGACACTGGGAATGTCCTAAGGACACCAGGAACATCCCAGGGACACTGGGAATGTCCTGGGGACATCAGGAACATCCCAGGGACACTGGGAATACCCCAGGGACACCGGGAAGGTCCTGGGGACACTGGGAATGTCCTAAGGACACCAGGAACATCCCAGGGACACTGGGAATACCCCAGGGACACTGAGAACGTTCTGGGAACACCCCTAGGACACTGGGAACGCCTCCGGGACACTTGGAACATCCCAGGGACACTGAGAACGACCCGAGGAAACCTGAAACACCTCAGGGACACCGGGAATGCCCCAGGGACAGTGGAAACACTCTGGGGACATCATGGTGGCACTAGGAACACCACAGGGACACTGGGAATGCCCCAGGGACACCGGGGAGGTCCTGGAGACACCGGGAACACCCCAGAGACATCGAGAACACAGCGGGCAGCTAGGAGCTAAGAACTGGGAATACCCCAAGGACACCGAGAACATTCTGGGAATACCCCCCAGGATAGTGGGAATGTCCCCGGGACACCGGGAACGCCGCAGGGACACCGGGAACACCGCAGGGACACCGGGAACGCCGCAGGGACACCGGGAACGCCCCGGGGAGCAGCACGTACCCCGCATGCCTGGCACGCCCTGCCGCCCCTCTCTGCCGATCTGTCCCGGCATCCCGGGGGAGCCGGGGGGTCCCGGCCGGCCGGGCAGCCCGTCCTTCCCGGGGGGACCGGGCCGGCCCGGGGATGCCACCATCTCCACCGGGAAGTGCAGCCGCGAGGTGTAATACGCCATCCGCTCTGCGGGGACAGGGACCGAGCTCAGAGCCCGCGGGGACACGGGGAGGGTCCCCGGAACTCGTCCCCAGTCCCCCGTTACCGTCAAACATCTTGTTCAGCTCCTGCCGGATGAACCTCTTGATCTCGTCGTAATTGACATCTCCCTGCAGGGACACGAGGGGACACGCCAGGGGCCACGGCCACCGCGCCCCTCACAGGGACAGGCTCCTGCCCCCCGACACGGCCACGCGTTCTTACCATCATCCCTGGGGGTCCCGGCAGCCCGGCACTGCCCGCGGGGCCCGGGGAGCCCGGGGGTCCCCTCTCTCCCGCGGGTCCCCGTGGCCCCACAAGCCCCATGGAGCCGCTTTTCCCTGGACCCCCGGGCATTCCGGCTCTGCCCTTCTCCCCGGGGTAGCCCCTCTCGCCGGGGGACCCAGCGTCACCCTGCGGACAGGAAAGGCTCAGCTCTGGGGTGCAGGGACAACTGTGGGACGCCGAGGTGGCCGTGGTGGCACAGCCAGGCTCCCCTCACCTTCTGTCCGGCTGGGCCCGCAATGCCCGGTTTTCCTGGGGGTCCCTGGAAAACAGGAACAAGGTGACAGGGATGTCCCCACCCTAGGGACACCCTGGCCAGGCCAGAAGACGCCGCAAATCCATCCCTGTGTCCAGCAAAGCTCCAGAGAACCCTGCTCCTACCTCTTTCCCAACGGGTCCGTCCGGTCCCTGCTCTCCCTGCGAGGTCCAAGAGGGGCAGTGAGGTGGTGACACCGTGTGGCCACCCCCAACGTCCCCAGTGCACCGCTCCGTGCCCTGCTGCACTCACCGGTGGTCCCGGGTGTCCCGGGGGTCCCGGCTGTCCTGGCATTCCCGGCAGACCCCGCTCCCCCACGGAGCCTCGCTCGCCCTTCAGCCCCTGCGAGGAGAGAGCCGGGACCGCAGGGATGAGTGCGGAGCAGGAATGGGGGATCCCAAACCTGCTCATCCCGACCCCAAATCCCAGAGTGAGGGCTCCAGCCCTGGCAGTACTCACCACTCCAGCGAGGCCAGCGGGACCCGGCTGTCCCGGGTTGCCGGGGGGTCCCTGGGGACAGAGACAGGGGGGTCACACTTGATGTCCCCATTCCCTGAACCAAAGGGAGCCCCCGCTGTGATCCCCCTTCACTGGGGGGAAGCTCCAACTTACGATGAGCCCTGGGGGTCCCTGCCGACCTTGGGGTCCCATGGGTCCGGGGTCACCCTGAGGAAGGCAAGTGAGGAGGAGAAGGGGGGGTGGTGACAAGGAAGGCAGGCTGGTGACAAGTGCCCAATGTGCCCAGGGCTCAGCCAGCCCTCGCTCACCTCTGCTCCCGGCCGGCCCGTGCTGCCCGGGGGGCCGGGTTTGCCGCAGTCGCCCTAAAAGGAGGAAGGGACATCACGGGCAGAGCAATGAGAGGTTCTCTGGCCATGCCCGTGGTCCCTGGGGGTGTCACCACCACCTAGTGCCACCATCACTCACCTTCGGTCCCGGGAGCCCTGGGTGTCCTGTCTTGCCCTTGAAGCCCTGGAGAGAGAAAAGAGCTGCTGGGTGGGGGTGCCGGCAGAGCACAGCAGGTGATCCTGACCCTGCAGTGCCAGTCCAGGGCCACCACTCGCAGCTCAGTGTCCCCAGGAGCACGTGGTGGGACAGTCCCGGCTCAGGGGAGCCCGTTCTTGGCTGCAGGGACATGCCAGGCACAGAGGATTAGGGAGGGGTGACAAGGAGGGCTGTCACTCACCGGAGGACCCATCATCCCTGGTGGCCCGGGGGGACCAGGGTCACCCTGGGGAGAAAGAGAAAGGGTTGGGGGTGTCCTGGAGGGGGTTGCAGGGTGGCTGCCCCCTACCAGAATCTGGAGAGCTCCAGAGCCTCACCCTCAGCCCTGGCTTCCCATCCTTGCCATCCAGTCCTTCCAAGCCAGCAGGGCCCTGCGGGGACAAGGTGACAGTGTCAGAGAAGGTTTGCATCGGGGAGCTCTAGAGGTCCCTGGGAATGGGAACAGGTCCCTGGGGAAGGGGAACAGATCCCCTGGGGAAGGGAACAGATCCCCTGGGAAGGGAACAGATCCCTGGGAATGGGAACAGATCCCTGGGGAATGGAAACAGGTCCCTGGGAATGGGAACAGATCCCCGGGGAATGGGAACAGATCCCCTGGGAATGGGAACAGGTCCCTGGGGAAGGGGAACAGATCCCCTGGGGAAGGGAACAGATCCCCTGGGAATGGGAACAGATCCCTGGGGAATGGGAACAGATCCCCTGGGAATGGAAACAGGTCCCTGGGAATGGAACAGGTCCCTGGGAATGGGAACAGATCCCCTGGGAATGGGAACAGATCCCTGGGAATGGAAACAGGTCCCTGGAAATGGGAACAGGTCCCTGGGGAAGGGAACAGATCCCCGGGGAAGGGAACTGGTCCCTAGGAATGGGAACAGATTCCCTGGGAAGGGGAACAGGTCCCTGGGAATGGGAACAGACAGTGGTGCTCCCAGGAGCACCCAAGGGTGACACATAGAAGGGGTCTCACCTGGATTCCCGGGGGTCCAGGGGGCCCGGGGGGTCCTGGCATTCCCGTGGGGCCTCGCACGCCCTCACTGCCCTGCAGGAGCCACAGGAGGTCACAGGCACAGCAGGGACCGGGCACCAAAGCCAGCCACAGCCCCAGGGACACCACAGAGCCACTGCCCGGTGACACTTGTCCCTGGCACTCACCTTCTCGGCCACAGGCCCTGGTGGCCCGGCTGGACCAACCTTTCCAGGGAAACCAGGAGGACCCTAAAGAGAAGAGGGGTGTGAGTGAAGGGAGGACCCCGCAGAAGAGCCCAGCCCATAAATACTGCTCTTTCCCGGCTTATTTGAATAGGATTGATCTGGGGTTGCTCTCTGCACCTCATCCCACTCGTGCCCCACTTGTAGAACCCCCTGTCCCCATCCCTGGCTCTGTGGGGACACGGGGACACAGCCAGGAACAGGCACCATCTCCCAGGGACACCCCCCTGTGCTGGGATTGCCAGCGGGATGTAATTAAAATTCCCGGTGGGATTTACTTACGGGTGGTCCCGGGAAGCCAGGCTGGCCCTGGAAACCCTGTGGAGAGAAAAGAGCTGAGCTGGACCCCAGAGCCACACCCTGCCCCATGGTGGGGGGGAGGTCCTGGGGGGTCTTGTCCCCTTTGGGGACACTCACCTGGTCCCCCTTCTCTCCAGCGCTTCCCGGGAGCCCACGCTCACCCCTGGGACCCTGCGGAGAGACGGGATGAGGTGGGGGGAGCGCCCCACGGCACCCACAGCCACCCCCTCTCTCCCCACAGCCCCCAGGGTGGGCACCTACCGCTGGCCCCATGGAACCGGGCAGCCCATCCGCGCCAGGGGGTCCCTGGGAAGGACGGCAATGGGATCAGATGGATGTGGCTGGAAGGATCCCAAACCTGGTGCCCACAAAGAGGGTGCACCTGGGGGAGTCCCCGGCCCCACTGCCCCTGGAATGGGGCCCTGAGGGACTCACCAGCTCCCCTTTCTCTCCGGGGGGACCCACGTAGCCTCGCTCGCCTTTGATGCCCTGGGGAAGGGACAAGGTGGGATATGGGGCACGGGTGGGATATGGGGCATGGGTGGGATATGGGGCATGGGTGGGATATGGGGCACGGGTGGGATATGGGGCATGGATGGGATATGGGGGCATGGATGGGATATGGGGCATGGGTGGGATATGGGGCACGAGTGGGATTTGGGGCACGGATAGGATTTGGGGCATGTATGGGATTTGGGGCACAAGTGGGATATGGGGCACAGATGGGATTTGGGGCACGGATGGGATTTGGGGCACGGGTGGGATTTGGGGCACAGGTGGGATTTGGGGCACGGGTGTGATATGGCGCATGGATGGGATATGGGGCACAGATGGGATATGGGGCATGGATGGGATATGGGACACGGATGGGATATGGGGCACAGATGGGATATGGGGCACGGATGGGATTTGGGGCACGAGTGGGATATGGGGCACAGATGGGATATGGGGGCACAGATGGGATTTGGGGCACAGATGGGATATGGGGCATGGATGGGATATGGGGCACGGGTGGGATATGGGGCACAGATGGGATATGGGGCACAGACGGGATTTGGGGCATGGATGGGATATGGGGCATGGATGGGATTTGGGGCACAAATGGGATATGGGGGCATGGATGGGATTTGGGGCATGGATGGGATATGGGGCACGGGTGGGATTTGGGGCACAGATGGGATTTGGGGCACAGATGGGATTTGGGGCACGGATGGGATTTGGGGCACGGGTGGGATTTGGGGCACAGGTGGGATTTGGGGCACGGGTGTGATATGGCGCATGGATGGGATATGGGGGCATGGATGGGATTTGGGGGCATGGATGGGATTTGGGGGCACAGATGGGATTTGGGGCACAGATGGGATTTGGGGCATGGATGGGATTTGGGGCACAGATGGGATGTGGGGGCAGGGCGGGGTAAGGG